TAACGATAACGATAACGATAACAATAATAGCGATAACGATAACGATAGCAATAGCAATCGCAATAGCAATAGCAATAGCAATGGCAATAGTAATGGTAATGGTAATGGTAATGGTAATGGTAATGGTAATAGCAGTAGTAATAGTAATAGTAACAGTAATAGTAATAGTAATAGGTAACAGTAATCGGACCGAGTGGAGTACAATTCAGGGAGTAATCGCCCGAGAAATTTCAAAATCGGACGAGCGCGAAGCGCGAGGCCAATTTGAAAATACGAACACGATTACTCCCTAAATTGTATGACACGAGGTCCAATTACTAATTAATCGTATCTATAACAAATTTCGGAAATAAAATGTCTTTTGGGAAGTTCTTTTGAGGAAAACGCGTATAGCGCTTTTCATAAGTTTTGAAAACTGTAGGAACATTGCGAAGGAAGCCATTAAAGCGCGCGTACGTAATTGACATGAAGAATCACGTGGGTATCCAATTATAGGTATCCAATTAAAAAAGTTCAAATAGTAATAGTAATATGGTAACATTTAAGAAATGGGAAACATATACCGTGTTTCTATCGACTTATAGAAACACGAGTGGAAGTTTGGGAGACCAAGAAATGCTGTGGGAACACGAGCCGCAGGCGAGTGTTTCCACAGCTTTTTCAAGTTCTCTCAAACTTTCACGAGTGTTTCTATAACTTGATAGAAACACAGAGAATGTGTTTTCTATTTCTTTTAGAAAACACCGCGACCAAAAAAAGGAAAACAACTTGTTAACTTTGATTATCAAAATGTAAATTTTCTTTCCTCGCACCATCATTACCTCAACAGCTCGTGCTAGTTCTGTGTTTCTATCGAGTTATAGAAACACAATTTTTAACCAATCAGTGCGTGTATTTTCTTAGGGCTGTTTTCTAACATGCTCTAAAAAATGGCAAACTCTGTTTCTCCAGCTAATGAGAACTTCTACAGATGATGAATTATGAAAGGACACCTGACCATTTTGGAATCTGTCTTCAGTGATGTCATAAGTGTGGTGGACATGTACAGTTGATATTTAAAATTTAGAGTGACTTTAAATTAAAACTGTTAACTTAGTAAATCTTAGCTCCAAGGAAATACAAAAAAGCTATTTACTGGGTAAAGATGAAAAATGTTGACCTGTCAGTTTCAAGTTTGTGTCAGTTTAAAAGAAAGTGCCATTGATAGTACAGTGGAAGTCCGTTAATACAACCACCTTAAGGCCATGGAAAATTGATCGCGTTAACGGGGTGATCATATCAAAGGGGTTCTTTAAATAGGAAAATGACTGACAGCTTTTTTTCGGGCCAGAATAAAGTGGCCGTAATAACGAGGTGGTCGTATTAACGGGGTGGTCGCAAGGCGGGGTTCCACTGTACTACTATGTTTGAAAATCAGTTTCATGGCAAAATCCGTGATTTTGCCAATAAAGACTGCTAGTGGCTCTGAATTTTGAGGTCAGCCCATCAATAGTTATCTTAATTAAATTAAATTAAAATAAACTAAAAACCAAATGACTAAAATATGTGACCCCATCATCTGATTGTTGATTTTGATTTTAGCTTGCCTATGGCTGTGTGCAAACTTTAAGGGTGGGATTTGATATTGTTTCCTTGTACAAAGTTGGAAAGATGACTGAAAACAAATGGTTGAAGTAAGCAAATTTTTGGTCTTATTTGTTAGAAAGTTACTCAAATTAAAGTTAATTGACCAGTTGGTACTTTAATTTGGAACTTTTAGAGTTCTGGGGTCTCTATGTAGTTCAGGCAAGTTATGGTTAAGTTCATTATTTATGAACTAGAATGATACATACCAGAAGAAATCACCATGTCAGGTCTTTTGCCCTTAAGTCTTTGTACCTCATTGGCCCAGATGTCAGTTACAACTCATATTGTAAAATACACTATGCTAGCTGACAATGTGTGCACAATTATCTTTTTATGTTGTGTCTCATGCAAGCTGAATATTTTACCTATAACATTATCCTCTTGCATGAATGGGGTGCAACACTTGCAGAGACCGAGAGGTGGAGAGCCATTAAATATAATAATAAGCTATTTAGCTGCAGCTTAGTCCTTCCAATGCGTTGCTAATAGCATTTGGTATAATACACATTGCGTTTGGATAAACAATATCCATATATCCTCCATGCAGAATGTTTTTTGGTCTGAAGACACTTGCCCATCTCAAAATTCATTTTGTTTAAACTTCCCTTTAAAGTTTTTGGCTTTATTGAGACTTCCCACACCTTCTGTCCGGTACTGTAAGGTTGTGAATTTGCCATTTCTCAATTTAGTCGCATCATCATGTTGGAAACAGTCGCTGGGGTCCCAGGTATGATAGCAGCAATGGCACGACATTTTCACTCGCTCAGGAAACTTACAAGGGACCATGGATGGATTCACACCCTGTTAGGTATTGTTTTATTATTATTTTTTTTGAATAATTTGAAGCTTTATATATAAAAAAAATAGCTTTATTTGAGTGTCAAATGTATTTAATTAGTACTGTTGTGCTAATTGGGAACACTGTAAAAGAAATATTAGACAAATAATGCAAATAGAACATATTAAACTATTAAGAATCCCAACTGGTAGGAGGCTGACTAGTTGGCTATTTACATAATGAGGTTGAAGAGTTGAAATCGAGAATACTGAGAACAAATCCAGATAGTGGTAGGATAGAGGGTTTGAACCAGGGACCTCCAGTTTTCAAATCCAGCACTCTTAATCACTTGCCCTCCTCTCTGGCCCATTATTTCACATAATATATGACTGAAAATATTCATTTTAATTATTGCACCATTTGAACAACAAACACATTAAAGAGGAGGCTGAGAATGAAAGAATGCACTTGATGACAGCCTTGGAACTAAAGAAACCTGGAATTCTATTCAGAGGGATTATACTTCTTGCACAAGGTGAGGTCTTTAGTATTGTCTTTTTACAAGAATAAATCATGCATTGGTGACAGTCGCAATTTACATCTTATAATAGCATTCCAGATGATGTGCCCAAAGTGCTTTAGAAATATCAAAAGGTAATATACATGTTTTTTTGAATAGCTGACAACAGAGTGGCTTAGAATACACAGTTCAGCTGGTTCTTACTTGTTGTTTTCTTCTTTCTCTTTGTATCACGTCGCAAAACGTATAATTTGCTGGTAACTGTTTATGGAATATATCTATTTCAGATTCCCATCACTCTCTTTTTATTAATGCAAGGTTGTCCCAACAGTAACCACAAGATTATGGAGTCTGTGGCAATAGATACCACCCTTGAAGTCGTTTTTCAACAGTTGCAGTGTGACTGTCATCATCAGTTACAAAATGAATATTTCAGAATAGGCCATTTTCATATTCTCGGGATTGGACTGGAACTAGCTTGCAATGGAGGCTCATGCGGGGAAATAACATTAAAAAGAAATTAATGTGATTTGCATTTGAAAAGACTCTCTTCATTGGCGTCAGTTGCAAGCTAGTTCCAGTCCAAAATTTACCGAGAATACGAAAATGGTTTATTGAATGTGAGAAAACACGTAATTTCTCAGATTCTACTCTGTAGTTCATTTCGCAACTGACTGAATAACAGAGGAGATTGTTGAAAGGTGTAGAACGCCCCTTTGTCTTGAGCATGTGATGATATGAACCACAGGGGACCCGAACACTCTATCAGCAGTGAAAATAAATGTACCATCATTTACTGACTCTGTTCCTGTGTCTTTTTGAGTCGAGTTTAGAAGGGATTTGAGTGAAGCGAAGGCAGTTTACATTTCTGAATATTATCTCATCTGCCGCTTTGTAATTATGATGCTCCGATTACGAGCTAACCATGATTAGCAAAGCCATACAGTACTTTCCACATAAGCTGTGCAGAATAGTGGGAAAATACAAGTTAAATTTTGTTGTTAGGTTGATTCCTTTATCTTTTTCTCTATTTTCAGGTGTCTTCGTAAACCTTTTCTTTATAGCTTACATTCTCAGCCCAAGGTTTTGCCACAGATTTGTAGGATATCTGGAGGAAGAGGCTGTCAAGACTTATACTTACTGTTTGAAGGTAATTAATATCATTCATGAACTAAGCAACTCGAGATCAATGCATCTGTACAGTGAAAAATCACTAGACAAGTGCAAAATATATAGACTGAGAATAATACATGGACACGCTTATATATGGAATTTCTCTTCAAGTGTTCAGCTTCATATCTCACATGTAAGTGCGGCGAACAAGCGAGATGTAAAGTTGAACTCTATGTCTACAGGCAATGATGTATTATTTATTATGTAAATATACCAATAACGAAGTTTTTGACAATTTTCCGAAGATATTCCAAAAGTTGTTGGAAAGCCGCGCGAACGTTTCCGAACATTTTACGAACATGTCTGAAGATAACCGAAGATTCCGATGAAGATCCGAAGATGTTTCGATCATACACCAACGAATTTAAGTACAGTTAAAGGGTCAAACATGATTTCAAACATAACGTCATCGATGTCATCACAGTGAAATATTTATCGTAATTTTAAACGTCCAATTATGGCTTTTCTCACGGCTGGAAATCCTTTTGAAAAAACTCGCGCTTTAGATAATAAAAACAAATAATATATCTCCGAGCATAAAAAAAACAGTTGATTTCTTGAACCGTAGCAAAACAGACCTTTTGGTTTTCGTAAAGCGGCAATTAATTGACCTGGTTTTGAATACGATATGGACTACGGTTGGTTGGTCGGTCAGCTAAGGAATGGATCCAAAACCGATGATCCAGGGAAACCTTGTCTGTCAACTGACCTGACTATAGCACCAGTGAGCTAGTAGCTGCAGCTGATGAAGTCTGGGACTTACCCGTACCCAGATCTCCGCCACTATCCACTTTGGAACGAGGCAAAATCTATAGCTGGTTTTGACATGACGTCATTAAAATTCAAACTACAAAACTTTCGACCTTCCTGAGATTTTACTTTAATGAGGTATAAGAGCAGCTGAAAAATAATATTCATACAAATTTTCGCTACGAATGGGTTCTTGGTTTTGTGATTCACTACGCTTGAATTTCTAAGCTTTTGCGTGACTTGGCATTTACATAACGGCCTAGAGAGCTGTCATGATGGTTAAAAAAGTGACTTATTTCGGGGAATTTGGCCATCTGAACAGTTTATGTCTTAGAAAAAGTATTATTTTAATGTTTTAGCGTTCCTCGAGGGATAAATTCACGCTTTTGTAGCAAAACTCAGTGACAGATGTTTCTGTTGGTTTCCGGCCGCC